GAGCGGTCCAGGGTCCTGCTTCCTCCACCGGGATGTCCAGGAGCAGTCCTTTGGTGGGTGCTTCCTCCACCGGGATGTCCAGGAGCAGTCCTTTGGTGGGTGGCTCAGAGCTGCAGAAGCATTTGCTGCACCTGTCTCAGATGCCTTTCCTCTTCCCTCTCTAGATTATCCTCTTGACTTGAACCACAGTGAAACCTTCCTACAGACCACGACGTTTCTTCCTGAAGACTTCACCTACTTTGCAAACCACACCTGCCCTGAAAGGCTCCCTTCCATGAGTGAGTAGAGCTCTGACTTCCTTTCTTCTGCCTTTAGGACAGATTGGTCATTTCAGCTGGTTAAAACAAGGGGTGCGTCCCTCGGTGTGCCTGTGTAGAACATGTCATCACCTCCCTGAGTTAGAAGGTCGTGAAGGTCTTGGTACTCCTGGCTCCTCTTCAGCAACACCTGCCACAAGCCCACCTGTGTCTTGGTGCTGCATTCTGCCTTATTAGCATTTCACTTTTCCTACGAAGTTGCCCCTCCTTTGTAGCTTGGGGTCTGTTAGAATATCCTAGTGAAAGCATAGCCACAGCTTTGTCTTTTTAGTATAAATCTCCTACTTTCTATTGGTATAACTTGGAAGAAGTTCTTTTCTTTTTTAAAATCTTTTTCCCCAAAGAAATTATTTAATTAATTAATTAATTTATTAATATTACTATTATTATTTTAATTTGCTATAGGGCACATGCGCTCACCAGAGAGAGAGAAAGAAAAGGAAAATAAGAAAGCAAGCCACCAGGTCTGGGACTTGAACTGTGACCAGCCATGTGGGAGTGAGTCCAGCTGCTACCATACCACCTGCTGACCCTGGAAGTTATTTTCTTAACAAAGTGCTGGTTAAAAAAATTCGGGATCTTGGGACCAGCAGTTAGCATAATGGCTATGTCGCTGGACTCCCACGTAGTCGACCACGGGTTGTGTCCCGGACCTGGTGGCTTAAAACTCACGCCGGGCGCATGTGTGTGCATGCCCAATATCCCGAGAGGAGAATGGAGGAGAAGGGATTGCGGCATGACCATCCCTCCTGGGGGGTGATTTCTCGCTTTCTATCTCTCTGTCTCTGTCTGTCTGTCTGGCAAGCACACACACCCTGTAGCAAAAACCTCTCCAAAAAAGAAAAAAGAAAAATTCGGGATCTTTTCTTCCTTCGTTTTAATTTTTTGGAGTTTTATGTATAATCTAAAACGGCAATAGGAGACTTCTTACACCTTTCCTGTGCTTTTGGACCTTGTAGATTTGGGGGAGGGTTTCTTTTATTTGTTATTTATTTTTAAAGAACTGAGCAGCCAAAGGAAAATCTTCTGTCTGCAGAATTGACTTTACAAAAAAAAAAGTTTATCCAATTTCTTCCGTGAGTGTGACAGAGACGGCACTCTCAACAGGGTCCTGGTGCCACAGTCCATGCCCAGCTTTCAGTTAGCCCGGGATCGTGGGCTGGCACGTGCTGGGTGTACTCAGGGAGGTGTCGGAGCCCCGGATCGTGGGCTGGCACTTGCTGGGTGTACTCACGGAGGTGTCGGAGCCCCGGATCGTGGGCTGGCACGTGCTGGGTGTACTCACGGAGGTGTGAGCCCCGGATCATGGGCTGGCACGTGCTGGGTGTACTCAGGGAGGTGTCGGAGCCCCGGATCGTGGGCTGGCACGTGCTCCGTGTACTCAGGGAGGTGTTTGACTTGAACTGGGAACCTGCCCACGTGGGATTGTCTCGCAGGGTATCATGTTTCATTCGATCACTACGGCACCCTCAGACCCAGAATTGACTTTTATGCTCAGTGAAAAAGAAGGTGTTGGAAATACTAGGGCATGGGGGAACCAGCAGTTAGCGTAATGGCTATGTCGCTGGACTCCCACGTAGTCGACCGCGGTTCGTGTCCCGGATCCGGGGGCTTAGAACTCACGCCGGGCACGTGTGCGTGCATGCCCAAGATCCCGAGAGGAGAATGGAGGAGAAGGGATTGCGGCGTGACCATCCCCCTGGGGGGTGATTTCTCGCTTTCTGTCTCTATGTCTCTCTCTGTCTGTCTGGCGAGCGCACGCGCCCTGTAGTGAAAAACCTCTCCAAAAAAAAAAAAAGAAAGAAATACTAGGGCATGGGTTGAACATCCTTTTGTCCATGCATGAATAATGAATTATGGGTATTTTAGATCGTGTTGGGAGCCTTGCTGTTGACATGCCTACGTCATCACACGGACACGGGTCCTCCCTTTAAAATATGTATTGGTCTGCATTTATGCTTAGCCTCCTTTGGGAAGGCTACGATCTGTGGCTAGAAATAGGCTTTTGACAGACCCAGCACTGCAACTGTCAGATCATCCCTTCATTAGCATTTATTGATCGTTGAGTTCCCCTCTTGCCCTAGGTCAGAGTTGACCAATGTTCTAAGTTTGGACGTGATGAGGCAGGGTCCCCACTGGCTGGCGAGCACATGGAGAGGCACAGCGCTTCTGCACTTGCTACCAGAGCAAAATAACGTGCTCCACACTTGACTCCCTTTCTCCTTCCCTGAGGAGTTTGGCTTCAGTTTGTTCAAGTTTTCATTTCTTGCTACACCCTTGGCAGAGGCAGAACTCTAAAGACTTAATCCCTTGCCTTGCCTCTTTACATGATAGTAGTAATGAACTGGCAGATCGAGAGGTGGGAAACAGCAACCGTCTCCCAGTCTCCCACCGCTGTTGGAAACACAGGCAGCTGTAAAGGCACGGGACTTCACCAGAGAATAAAACTCTAGGCCTGGGGGATAGAATCTGGGTTTTTTGGCCTCTTAATCCTTTTCCCCTCTCTGTTCAGAGGGCCCGATAGACATAAACATGAGTGAAATCGGAATGGATGACATTCATGAACTTTTCTCCAAAGACCCAGCCATCAAGCTCGGAGGTCACTGGAAGCCTTCTGATTGCCTGCCTCGATGGAAGGTAGGGAAGTCAGAGTGGGGACTGGCCCTGTGCTTGTATTTCAAGATACATTTTGCACAAAAATAAATGCATGCTATTTGATGAGTATCATCAGTAATGCTCTAATTCCAGTTTTTCTACAAACTTTTCCATGCCCCCTTGTGTTTGTGTGCTGGATCACAGCATGGAATGTGTGTCTTCCTGTGCGTGGGGGTCCAGTGTGGATTCATTCCGCAGGCCAGCTGTGTACAAGATGTGGCAGTCACGCAAGTGTGACGGCCATGCAGTTCCAAGGGTCCACTGCCCAAGGCCTCATTTAGAGGTCAAGGACAAGGCAGCCAGCCTCCTGTCGCTCCTGAGGGTTGCTCACTGATTCTGCAGGGATGTCCTGCTATGAAGCACAAGTTCAAAGGACTAACTGGGTGGCTTCTTTGGCTGCGATCCATTCAGGTGGCAATCCTTATCCCCTTCCGGAACCGCCACGAGCACCTTCCGGTCCTGCTCAGACACCTGATCCCCATGCTTCAGCGCCAGCGCCTGCGGTTCGCCTTCTATGTGGTTGAGCAAGTGAGTGCTCCTTTCTTCTCTTCCTTCTGTCCTGAGAGAGCAGTCTAGAAGAGTGCATGCAGATCCATCTTCCTTCTGTCCTGAGCGAGCAGTCTAGAAGAGTGTGCGCAGATCCATCTTCCTTCTGTCCTGAAAGAGCAGTCTAGAAGAGTGCGCGCAGATCCACTTCCGTGAACGTGCTCAAATGTTGCTCGACAAGCAAATTTTAGCCTCTCCTGTAGTGGCTTGGCCAGCGCCCACTGTGGATAGTGTCCTCAGGCTACAGACCTACAAGAGTCCCCTTCAGATAAGGAGCTGCATCAGCAGAGAGGGCAGGGTTTGGGATTTGGGACCTCTGCGTGTGTCCCAAGTCTGCTGTTCATTAACCTGTGACCAGGGTTTTCACAGACTTCTGAGTCTCAGGATTTGGTTTTGTTTTAATCTTTTTTTTTTTTTAAAGATGTTAATTTAACTAACTAACTAATTAATTAATTATAATCAGAGAGGGGACAGAGTGAGAGAGAGAGAGAGGGAAAGTGAGAGAAAACAAGCCGCCAGGTTCGGGACTCAAATGGCGGTTGGCCATGTGGGAATCCAGCACCCTTAACCACCATACCACCTGCCAGCCCCAGTTTGTTTTAATTTTTAAACCACCTACAGAGGTCACAAGCTGAAGACCCACCTGACATGGGTCTTGGTGGAACATGACTGTCCCGTTGTCCTCAGTCTCCAGAATTGCCGTTGTGTCTCTTGCCTGGTATCATTCACATGTTTTCACTGGGCTTTTTTTTTTTTTTAAAGAATTACCTATTTTATCCATTTATTTTATTTTAATTTGACCAGAAAGACACACACACACACACGCACACACACACAGAGCAAGAGAGGAGAAAAGTGAATGAGAAAGCAAACCACCACATCTAGGACTCGAACTGTGGTCGGCCTTGTGGGAGTGTCCAGTGCCTTAACCACTATGCCATCTGCTGGTCCCATCTTGGGTATTTTTAAAGTATGTGATCCTTGAACTAGAGGCTCTATAGACAAGTGAATGGCTTACACATTGCCCTTAGTCCTCTGATTCTCAACCTGGAGGGTGATTTTCAGACTCACCTCTCCCTATGAGTATGCTTTCCAGTGGCTCTAAGCTGGCATGGGATAACCTGGCTTCCCACAGCACTACTGTCCTAAAAAAAGAAGGCATCTAGCAATGGGATGAAACAGGCCAAAGCTCTGTAGGAAGTAACTTTCTTTTCTGTTTTGCTTGTGACTTACTGAGATTTGCTTACAGAGAGTCTCCTCCTATTGATTAAATGTCAAGTCACGGATTTCTTTCCTATTCAGTATCACACTCTGAGTACCCTTATCCTGAGTGTTGTGGTGCTGGCAAGGGTTAATAAACGCTAGCTGTCACATTAGTTAGGTTGTAACTGATCTGAACTGCCCCTTAAGGAGCCAGGGAATTCTTCCCTCAGCATGAATCTCTGGTGTGCCCAGTACTGTTTTCCTGGACCATTCAAATAGAATCAGACCAGACAAACCAAACCAATGGAAACCTCTCTTCCTACTAGATTTAGTTTGTAAAATAGAACCATCACAGATTGCTTGGTATGCTAAAGAGAATGATTGGCAAATTCTGGGTAATTTGGTGATCCAAAGTAGAAATGGAAGTCTTTCAGAAGTTTATGGAGAGGGGCCAGCAGGTGGCTTGGAGGTTAAAGCACTGGATCCCACACAACCAACCTTATGGCTCAAGTCCCATACCAGCAACCTGGAAATCACAGAGGGCACATGTGCGTGCATGCCCAAAATCCCATAGGCAGATGGAGGAGAAAGGATTGCAGTGTGGCCATCCCTGGGGGGTGATTACTCACTTTGCTTCTCTCTCTCTCTACCAAGTGCTGAGCATACATACCCTAGAGTAATAAATAAACTTTATAGAGAATGCATATTGTGATAAAACCATACATGGATTTAAAAATTTTTTGTACCAAAAGAACCTTATACTTTAATTCTACTTTCACTGAACTTTTTGAAGTTCCCTCATGTAAGCATTGATACCATGTGTGGTTCTGGGTGTCCACTAGGGGTCGAAACATATATTCCCTGCAAAAAAACGGGGGAAGAACTGTATATAGTTGAAATTCTTTCAGTGGCCTCGAGGAGCTTAGATTTACTACTGTTTTAACTTCTGAAAAAGTCAAGGCCACAGGTCCAGTCAGTGCCTTCTGGGTCATGTCACAGGTGAACCAGTGATGAGTGTTGCTGGAACCAGTCTGACCTTTCTCATCCACTGACCTTGGCTAGTCCATACCAATAAGCCCTTCTTCAGGCAGGACAAAGGCTGCAGAGACCTTACTTCCACGGGTCCCTTTTCAAGTAAAGTTCTGCTCGTTTTAGGTGGGCACTCAACCCTTTAACCGAGCCATGCTTTTCAATGTTGGTTTTCGGGAAGCAATGAAGGACTTGGACTGGGACTGTCTGATTTTCCACGATGTGGATCATATACCAGAAAGCGATCGCAACTACTATGGCTGTGGACAGATGCCGAGGCACTTCGCAACCAAACTGGATAAATACATGTATCTGTGAGTATCACTCCCTCTTTATCGAGGGTAAATCTGAAGGGATGGTCAGAGGCACAGAGATGAGACGATCCCATTAGCTACAGCCCAGATGTCCATCAGCTCAACGAGTATACCAAAGGTGTTGTATTCGTACAGTGGAATACTGCTTGGCAATAAAAAGGAGCCAGTACTGATGCATGCCAGAACATGGTTGAACACGTTGTGCTAAGTGGACGGGGTCAGACACAAAAGAGCAGATCGTGTGATTCTATTTGTACGAAATACTCAGAATAGGCAAAAACAGAGAGATAGGAAGTATATTAGTGGTTGCCTAGGGCTGGGGGTTTTGGGGGAAATGGGCAGTGGTGACTGTTAATCGGGACAAGGCTGTGGGGGCGACGACATGTCCTAGTAACACCAATGGTTATGGTCGCACAACTCCACGAGTATACTCAGAATCACGAGTTACGTGCTTTCCACGGGTAAACCGTCCGGTATGTCACTTACATCTCAATAAAGGTGTTATTAAAAATCAGGTAGTAGAAATTGATAGTTTTGTTGGTCCATGTCAGTATGAGGAAGCAAATTCAGCTGGCTCAGGGCAGTGGCACAGAGAGTTTCAAGTTCTCAAACATGATGGGCTGCCCTAGGGAAAAGACGCCCTGTAACGGCAGGTGGCTGACTCTCTCCATCCCCCTCTAGGCTTCCTTACACTGAGTTCTTCGGTGGCGTGAGCGGCCTGACTGTGGAACAGTTTCAGAAAATCAATGGCTTTCCTAATGCTTTCTGGGGCTGGGGTGGAGAAGACGACGACCTCTGGAACAGGTACCACCCTTCTCTGGTGTCCCCTGGGAATGTCCCCTGGCGTCTCCAGGCCAGAGCTGTCCAGTGGGAATGCAGTGCAAGTCATATGTTTCTTTACAGCATCTTAGTGGCTACCTTGTAAGGGATTTCTTTTTATTGTTTAATTTTAAAGAATTATTTTTATTTAATTCCATTCATTCTTTTATTTATTTTATATTTTTTGCTATAGGACATGTGCACTCACCAGAGACAGAGAAGGTGTGAAAACAAGCCACCAGGTCCAGGACTCAAACTGTGGTCAGTCATGTGTGGATCCAGCATCTTAACCACCAGGCCACTTGCTGGTGCCAAGAGATTACTTAAAAAGACATTAAATTCATTTTAATAGTATATTTAATGCAGTATACTCAAAGTCTTACTTTCATAACATGTAGCTAATATAAAATACCGATGAGATATTCCACGTTCATTTTTCCTTATAAATCTTCGAAGCCCAGCATGAATTTCATACTCCTGGCAGCTTTCACTCCTGAAGAGCCACATTTCACCACAAGTGCCACCTGTGCCTCTTGGCTACCGGGTTAGGCAAAGCGACACCACAGAGGTCTCTGACTGAATTTGAAGAGCGGCTGTTCACACTTTCTTTCATGACAGATGAGAATAGATGGAACCATCAAAATGATTTTTTTTTTTTTTGGAAAATGATTTTTTAATTAATTAAAAATTTTAGAATTAGGGGCTAGCAGGTGGTGTGGTGGTTAAGGGCACTGGACTCCCATATGGCCGACTGTGGTTCAAGTCTCGGACCTGGTGGCTTGCTTTGCCACTTTTACCTTATTACTAAAAAAAAAAGCTTAGGACCAGCAGATGGCATAATAGTTATGTCACTGGACTCCCATGTGACCAACCGTGGTTCAAGTTCCAGACCCTGAGGCTTGAAACTCAGGCCAGGCATGTGTGCATGTGTGCCCAAAATCCTGAGAGGAGAGTGGAGGAGATGGGATTTTTAATGTGGCCATCCTCCTGTGAGGGTGATTTCTTACTTTCTGTCTCTCCGATGAGCACATGCACCCAGTAGCAAAAGTCTCTCTTACAAAAAAAAGAAAGAATATGCTCTTTAGGGCTAGCAGATGATGTGGAGGTTAGGGCAGCTAGATCCCAGGTCCCAAACTGGCAGCATGAAAATCATGCCAGGCTTGTGTGCCAAAAAGAGAATGAAGGGGGAGGTGATTAGACTGGAGAGCCCCTGAAGTGGTTTCTTTCTCTCTCTCTCTCACTCTCTCTCTCTCTGTCTGTCTGTCTCCAACAAGTACATGCACCATATAGCAAACTTAAAAAAGGTGGGACTGCTGGTGGTGTGGTGGTTAAGGCCTTGGACTCCCACATGGCCGACTACAGTTGAGTCTCAGACCTGGCAGCTCAGCTCATGCCAGGCACCTATGCGAGCATGCCCCAAATCCAGAGAGGACAGTGGAAGAAAAGGAATTGCAGCATACCCATACCCCCCTGGGGGATTTCTCGCTTTCTCTCTCATCTCTCTCTGTCTCTCTGGCAAGCATATGTGCCCTCTAGCAAAAAAAAAAAAAGAAAGAAAAAAGAAAAAGAATATGCTTTTTGTAAAATACAGATGGATATAAAAATAAATTACCCCAAATCTAAACACTCAGAAATAACATCTGCTACCATTTTAGTTAGTTTACTTTGTCTTTAAAATCTATGCATGATGGAACCAGCAGGTGGCGTAATGGCTGCATTGCTGGACTCCCATCAGTCAACCGTGATTCGAGTCCCAGACTCTGTGGCTTAAACTCATGCCGAGCGCATCTGTGTGCGGGCCCAAGATCCCGGGAGGAGAATGGAGGAGAAGGGATTGGAGCGTGGCCATCCCCCCGCCGCCCCCAGGGGGGTGATTTCTTGCTTTCTGTCTCTCTTTCTCTCTATTTCTGGTGAGTGTACATGCCCTATATAGCAAAAACCTCCCCCCCCCCCACA